CTGGGTGTTTAGCCAGGGCTGTGGAAGACTGGGGATTAACATGGGGCTGTGGAGGCTGGGGCTTAACCCAGGGCTGGGGTTTAACCTGCAGCCATGGGAGGTTGGGTGTTAACCAGGTCGATGGAAGACTGGAATTTAACCCAGGGCTGTGGGAGACTGGGCTTTAACCAGTGTCTGAAGGAGAACAACGAACATGGTGAAGGGCCTTGAGGGGAAGCCGTATGAGAAGCAGCTGAGGGAACTTGGTCTATTCAGCTGGAGAAGAGAAGACTGAGAGGAGACCTCATTGTGGTCTACAACTTCCTTGTGAGGGGAAGAGGAGGGATAGGCACTGATCTCTTTGGTGACCAGTGATGGGACTCAAGAAAATGGCCTGAAGTTGTGTTTCAGGGGAGGTTTAGATTGGATGAAATAAAACGCTCTTCCCCCAGAGGGTGGCTGGGTGCTGGAACAGGCTCCCCAGGGATGTGGTCACAGCACCAAGCCTGACAGAGTTTAACCCACAGCTGTGGGAGACTGGGGTTTAACCCCAGGACACAGGCCTCAGACTCTCCTCTGCCCTTCAAACACCTATAATGGAACCCAAACATGTACAAAAGAGTGAGTGTGGGAGTTAACAGTGCTAAAAAGATTGTTGTAAGATTAAAACCTTAATTAATTCAGGGAAACTTTTGGTAATCTAACATTCAGGCTCTTTCCAGGTGGTTCTTGCTTTGCTGTGATGGTGGGGCTTAGGGCCCGTGTTTGAAGAATCTGCACCATCTCCCTTTTGTGTCATTTCCCCTGTACCTGTCCCAAACATTGCCCCTGAGGACAGGTGCCCTTTGGAAAATCCTCTCCCTGACTCTGGGCTGTGCACTGCCCTCGGGTGTAGTGGAGAGTTAATCCAGTTTAGCCTCCTGGTGTCATGCATTTAGCCTTTCCATATCTTATCATAAAACTTGGGTCAGATGCACAGTGACCTGTGCTGGCTCCAGCCTCTCACCACCAGCTGATGAAGTTGGGTTTATGTATTTGTGGCTTGGATGAGAGAAGTGAAACTGATGGTCCTGGTAAGCAGAGATAAAGGGGGGTTCACTGACAGTGAGCAAAACACTGCCCTGATTTCAACTTCCTTAACTTTCCTTTTCTTCAGGAGAAGACTGATGTGGAGGGAACGCTGTTTGTTTACACAAGGTGAGGACACTACCTTTTAATGTCTGCAGGATGTTTCCATAACCTGTGGATGGAGTGTGAATGAAGGAAATGAAGTGAAGTCATGAAGTAAATGCTCCCCCTTGTTCAAGGGCGAAAAGAAACTGAAACTGATAGAAGCAAATGCGGGGAAGAAAACACTGGGAAGGAGGCACCACCTTGTATTTTGATAAGACTTCCAAATGTGATTTAAATCTCAGTATGGGTAAACTGGTTTAATTAGGATGTAGCAGTTTAAAAAGTGTCTGGACAAAAAGCAAATAGTGAAATAAATAACCATATTCTTTAAAGTAAGGGAATGGTACAACTTAGGAAGTATTGTTTTCTCTACTTAGGGTACTTTCGTACTACTTATGTCTGATGGTTCATTTTTCATGCATATTCATCCAACATTTTGGCTGATTTTAATGCTTTCTTTTAGCAGCACCTCTGATTGTGGCTTTTCAGAGCATCATTTTTACGTCACTTGTTTTAGCACATTTGTTCTGTTGTGAAGCCTGCCCTATGTTGTAGTTTCCATGTTAGTGCCTCAGCATTTCCCTGTGACTGTTGTTAAAGTTGGAAAATAATACAGTCAGCAGATCTTGCAGTAGCTGCCAGGGTTTAACACCAAAGCAGAAAGTTTCTTCTTCAACTTTTATGTCAAAGAGGAACTGGTAGGAGAGCTGAGAAAGCAAGAGATTGTTTTGAGAAGGCGAGAGATGGATGTGTGAAGTGACAGAGAGGCCCAGGAGTCTGTGAGCTTTGTGTGAAGTGGGAATGCTGGTTTCAATCTGTAGAGATCTTTCCTACCAGCAGTGGAAATGGTCAATAGTAATTTTTCTAAGCTGCTTTCAGGTGAGTGGAGATAAGATGCTTTTCTAATTAGCACCGTGAGAGGAAAGAACCAGCTCTTTGTTGTGCAAGCAGTAGGTGGATGTGGGTAGTTATGGGCTGCAGAACAGCAGCAGTATTTCCTGGTGTGTTAGTTGTAAAGCTCAAGAACTGACAACATGTAACCTGGTACTCCTTGCATCTGTGATCTTTCACTGTTCTTTTTGTTGCCTGAGGAAATTTCCATTTAGGGCAGGGGTTGATGCCTGGCTGCCCTACAGGCAACAGAATGGAACAGGTTGTGAACTGTGGGTAACATCATACATCATCAGTTTTAACTTTAATTTTCTGTTGCTTTGAACAGAGTTATAAAGGTCTGTGGAAAAGACATTGCCAACAGATCATAGGTTGGAGACCACTGGTGTTGCCTTGGTTGTTTCTCTTTAGTCACAATGTAAAGTGATGTGACCATTTTACTTGAGATAACTTATTTACTACCCATCCCATCTTAGTGAATTCTGAGGAACAGTCAAAAAAGTCAGACTTCCAGCTGGGTTAACACCAGTGGAAGTGGACTGTTTGTTTGTTTTAAGTGAAGCACTGACTGTTGCAAATTAAGGATTCTTGTCAAGGATTCCACTTTTGTTTATTTTTCTGTTGACTCTGATGCTGTAATGCAGCTTCCTTTGCTTTGGGTTTCATAGAGAAATCCACACACCAGCAGTTGCCAGAGATGGCACTTTTCCCAAATGTTTATCCATAGTCTTTCCTTTATTGTCATACTTAGTTTGGAAGTAGTATCTCCTATCAGGATCATGATGGATTTAACAGCTCACCTTTATCTAAATGACTTGAAGTGTAACCCCCATGAACATGCATAATGATTTAGAGTCATAGAATCATGGAATGGTTTAGGATGGAAGGGACCTTTGAAGATAATCTGGTCTAACTCCTGCTGCCATGGGCAGGGACACCTTCCACTACATCAGGTTCCTCAAAGCCCTGTCCAACCTGGCCTTGAACACTTCCAGGACATCCACAACTGCTCTGGGCAACCTGTTCCAGTTTCCCAGCACCCTCACTTTTGTTCTTACACTTTAGATGGCGTGGAAAATCCTCTTTGGGGTGACCGTTACTGTCTGCAATTGTTAACCAGAGTATTGAAAAGTATGCTTGCACTGGCCCACAACTGACTTATTGTAATTACTTCTTTCTACTCCAGCAAGAAACTATAGGATGGATGGTGGTGTTGGATAAGGTGATGCTGATAGTCTGTTTATTTCTCATACATAATGTAGGGTTTTGCCATGATTAAAAGGATTACACAAAATACTACAAGAACCAATTGCTATTTCCTTGGCAACAAAATCAGTTTTTTGTGGTACCTCTTAGAAATAATAATAAAAGATTAATAAATTTGGAGAACTACGCAGGAAAGAAATTCTAGTGATTTCTTTTTTTCCTCAGCTTGATGGGATTTCTGCTTGTTAATTTTCAGATCAGCTTCTCCAAGGCATGGTTTCACAATTATGAACAGACTGAGCATGGAAAATCGAACTGAGCCTATTACTAAAGACCTCGATTTCCAGCTCCAGGACCCCTTTCTACTGTACAGAAATGCCAGATGTAAGTATAACACGTGGGGTTAAATACTGAAGCCAGCTTCTCTTCAATCTGTTCTTGGCTAAGGCAGTCCAGGTGCTTAGACTGCAGCTCTCAAGGGCTGAAATTAGCTGGTTAACAGGTGAAATTAAAGGAGTGTATTTTGCTTTTTTGGTGTGCTGAAAGAGAAGAGTTGCTCAGTGCTTCCTAAAATACCACTCTGCTAAAGAAAGTATTAGCATGTGCTTAGTAGTAATCTCTTAATTTAACTGACAAAGAGTAAATGTTTATTGTCCTGGGTATGTGATGGGCTGAGAGAGGCAGAGAGTGTGTGTTTTCTGAATGTACCCCAGTCAGTGTTGGGAACTTTTGGAGTGGTATTTGTAGTCTTGGCTTTCTGCATAAAAAGAGACAAATGCAGCAAATTCAAACCCTGTTTTGTGCTCCAGCTCCAAAATACTGTCCTTGGAGCAAGCTGGAAGGCACTGTGCCTTGACAACATAACGTTGGGTCTCATTTAAACCCTGATGAAAGACAGAGTTATTACTTTGGGCTCTGTGTTTATCTTGCACGATTATCTTTATACCAGAATTAGCAAGTGTCAGGCAAACTCAGAAATAAGTGGAAGACATGGGAAAGCTTACTTGTGCATGCAGATCTGCATACAGAGTGTTACAATGAGCAATTACCCGAGAATGAGCAGTTGTAAATATACAGTTTATATCTGTGCTTGGAAGTGGAGCTGTCGTATCATCTGTGCTTTGTCCTTGATGCATAAAAGCAGATTGCAAAAATGTTTTATGTGAACTGTGATGCAGAAGGGTTCCCTCTGGATGAATTAAAGGCTGAAGCAGCCCAATTTGATCATCTGCTAGACCTTTTTACTTCATAAACTAGTTTGAAGTTGGAAAGTATATCAAGAGGGAATCCTGTTGTTCACACGCACTATGTGGTAAAAACAATGGAGAAATAACATTTTAAATAGCCTAAATGAAACTGCTATTTTTGAGAGTATTTTCTAGGTTGACAAAGTATTGGAATTCACAAAGAAACTGAAAAGAAATGCAGACATATTCAGGCTAACCTAGGACATTAGGATTTTAAGTACCATGAGACCTATTATCCCATCTGTTTTTGAAGGGTCTTTCTTATGTAAGTGTAATCTTCTTTAATCTCATTTTGAAATTCCATTAGGAGTTTATGTGTGTATACACTAGTACCTACATTTTGAAACCTGGTCTATTAATTTTTCATTTTTGTTGAGACAATTGGTATAAAGAGTAATTAGAAGTTGTCATAACTCTGTGCTGACATGAAGTAAGTCTGATTACTACCTATAAACTGTGCTTGCTTAATTTTTTTATTAGGAGGAAAATCGTGGGGTTTGGAGAGTATAAGCTGTTTTTCCCAAGAGATGTCAGTCTTTTGGGTTTGCAGGGTCTCAAATATTTTAGGTGCTAACCTGTTTTCTTACTTTTGCTCTTCAGATTGTCTCCCCCATCCCACCGAGGGGAGGGGGCAAGCAGCTGCACAGGGCTGAGCTGCTGGCTGGGGTGGACCCCCAGCACCTACACTGACAATTTGCCAGTGGCAACATGGAAGTAGAACTACCCTTCTTTCAGTTTAGAATCTCTGAGCCGTGAGATCTGACAGGTTTTTGACTTCATGGCACTCTGTACTGGATCGTTCCCTTGAGTGCTGTCATGAAAAAAGAAATTAAGAGATCCCCAGCCCCTAAAACCTGTGGGTTTTAAGCCCTGATGTCGTAGTATTATTTTTCTCTACTGCTTCCAGATGCTGACAAGGAGTACTCAGTAATAGCTGTTTACTTGGCAAAACAGTGGACAGTTTGGCAGTAATACTTAACAGTGTCTGGAAACAAGTTATCTTTTTCTAACCTTTTGTTTGACTTGGTGACTTCTTATGCAGTTTTTCATACATGTCTTCTTTTAGATCTAACAAAACTAACAGTTTCCTCTGTTTTTCCAATTGATATGGTGGCTTTCCTACATAACAGGGCTTTTGTCATAACATAAACATCAGGAAAATACAAAAGCAAGCATTTAGAGAAACAAAGAAGTCCTGCCCAGTGTTTTGCTTCTCCCAATATTCCCAATATTTGTTGAAACCAACTTCATTTTAGTGCAGCTGAATATCTATGGCTGGTTGTACCACACAGCCTAAAATAAAACCTCTTGGCAGCCAAAGGTGGTGCTTGTGTACTGGACAAGTCCACCAGCATTTGTAATAGCTGTCATTTTGTAAAGCTTGCTTTGCATCCAATATATGATTACAACAGAAAGATTTTTTCCAAAATTATGCACAATAAATATAAGTTTTAGGAATACTTAAATTAAGAAAAGAAATATTTCATCTTACTTTATTGTTTTTTTCATATTTCTTCTGTTGTTCTATGTGATCCTGCTCATCTTAAGTTGAAATACTGTCTAAACACCATGTTGGAGACACAGTGTAATCCCAGGACTTTTCAGGCTGGATTTGGGATCCATGCCAGTTAATGTTTGCACTGATCTACTGTTTTGCAGAGAAGTTTAGTTTGAGAAATCTGTTAGGCTGGAGCTGGGGTTATTCATTTCAAAGCCAGGAGGGAAGATCAAGTTACAGTTTTTAATGTCAGCAGAAATCTTTGTCCACCAAGAAGAGAAGGTTTATGTATCAAATAGGGAATGTTCAATGTGACCTTTAAACTTATCTAGTTAACTGCAATTTTAGATGCTCTCTTTATGAGAGCAAGACAGGAGTCCTGTTTTCGTTTAGATCATCTAACAATTCTAAGGGTTTTAAAAAATTTCCTGGGTTCTATATTTGAATAATCTTAACTACATAATTAGTACTTTTTTCATTGTTTTTTGGTGATATTTATTGTGAAAAGCAATATTTAGAGCCTGTTGCTTAAGCCTTGGTGCTGAATAATATGAGATAGTTGAGAAGAAATGCAAGGTGGTAAATTATTGAGTAAATGAACTTAATTTTCTCTCTTTAGCACTGATCAGCTATATAATAATTACAGCTATTCCTCATTGTGTATTGTACCAGGTGTTTATGCCTTTGTACTGGGTCAGTGAATTATTTCCTCAGTTGACTGATTTAGCTTTTCATTGCTGAATACTGTTTTTCATGCTTACAGGACACAGAGAATTTGGTCAACAGTAAGTTGTATATCTCAGAGTTAGCTTCACCTTGAGCATTTCAGCTGCCAGAGAAGAACACAAGATCCTACCTTAAAATAGTGTGCTAATTGTGACAATGATCTGATACAGGTTAATTGGGTGCTTTTCTGCTATAAGGAGTGGAGAAAGAAATTGTGTGGCAGATTGACAAATACTTTATAACAAGTTTCTGTACCTGTTGACAGAGCAGTTGCTTTTCATTTCTGTGCCACGTTTGTAGCAAGGCCTTTGATCATGTCATCCCCTGGGCTTGGAGCAGAATGAAGCCTTTCTAGTCAGATGTGTCTACTGAATTTGAGCCTTAGCAGAGGTTCAGTAAGTGGTCCAAAAGCAGACCAGACATGCCTGTTTTTGTCAAACCTGCCTAGGCACCTGTGAGACATACATAAGCTCATCCTTGTTTCAGTTGTCCAGTTTGACATACCACCATGTGTCTGTCAGAACCCTGAAAATGTTATATTTTCCCAGATTCTACACTGCAAAGATGCCTAGTAGATGGGATGGAAGGGAGAGGGAAGTTTGCCAGCTGTCCAAAGAAGTTTTGTGGGTTTTTTGTTTGTGGTTCAGTTTTGGTTTTTTTTCCTTCCCATGTAGGTCATAATTATTTTGTATGACAGTTTTTCCAAATATATCCCTGGGGACAAGTGATTGTAAAATGTTTAGGAAAAGACAACGGTGTATGTTCTTCTCAAACTATTGGATTTCATTCTTAAATTCTAAATTACAGCATCCAAGGGCCCTCTTAAACAGAACAACTCATCTTCTTTTGAGACTGATTGTGGCTCATTTTAGTTCACCCTCCTAAGTAAATACATCCTGGTAAAAAGTACTAAATGGATAACAAGTGTCCTGCCTCTGCAGGCATTTCTGAAGGCCTAGTGACCCTGCAAGGAGCATTTCTTAGTTTGAAGGCTGTTAGAGGTTTACTTTGGAAGGAAAAGTAGGAGACAACACTAAGAGAATCTGAGTGATATGTAAAAGTTAATATATCATGGAAACCAATCCTCTTTTGGGTATCATAGTGTCTTGTTTACCCTGAAATAGGTTTCCAGTCTATATTACATTATACATTCTGTAACATGGTGTTTCAGATCTCTTCTTTCTTCTGAAATGCGTTTTTAATCGAGAACAAAACCAGCATTTGGTGGTTAAATTTATTTGTGTATATATTTAGATTCAGCCTTCTGCATATTGACCAGTAAACTACTACTTGCTCAATTGTTTCCATTGAGACAGGCAAAATAGATATTCCAGGCTTAGTTTTTATGAGGTAGTAGAGTTTCTCTTTGGTTTTTGGTTCAGTTTAGAATGGAGAGCCTTATTTATCAGCCTCCTGCCTGCCAACATACAGTATCTGGTCCAAAAACAAAAAACCTGACATGATGAAAGCAGTAAATTGCAACGTGTATTCAGTTGAATATTCCCCAAATGCTCATTTGTTTTTCAGAATTTTGAAAGAAATACCTTGCAGTGTTTTTAACTTCATTCAATTTGTATTATTTTTCTCTAAAATCAGTGGTCTGCTAATTCAGAAGTATGACATGGCTTTCTGTTGCTGCATCATTAAGCAAATGCAGTGATTTTTGTCACAACTGAATAACTTAAAACAATTTTTTTGAGGTTAAGTTTGATTGCAGAATTATTATTCTGGCCTGCTACAACCTGCATGTTTTGTTGGAAATATTTCTGTAGTTTAAAACTCTTTGAAAAACGTTTGTCGGTTTGGAACAAAAGTGCAAGCTAAAACTATAGCAATTCAAAGTGATTTTGGTAGAAGGGCCTTGCCCTCTTTAGGGGTATATTCTTCTCAGCCTGTTTTTTTGTTAAACAGAT